TCAGAGCATCAGTATCAATTCCAACATGTCGGCCCCTGCCACCACAGTTTATAAGGCTAAAGTCACCTGAAAGAATGACACTTACGAACATTCAAAACATTTCCATAAACTTCTTTGATATTCTTTGTAGCTACAGAGGCGTTGTTTCCCGTTCTTGTATTCAAACAGCATTACATGCCGAATGTGTGTCTTGTCGTGTGTCATCACTATAAGGGACTAGAGTATACTAAACTTTACACATTATATAGGCCACGCTAACGTGACGTTTAACTATTATACGTGATGTACGTTTTTTGGGGGGTGGTTAACGAAAGTGTTTCAAAACGCGACATTAATTTCTTGATGACCTAATATTTCACGTTGTTGTGTAGCTTTGAAATATTGTTGTGTTAGATATTTTAAGTACAAGTGATAGGCAATTGTTAAATTTTAAAATAGATAATTAAAATACAAAGTGCACAGTAAAATGTTGTATTTTAGATATTTATTTCATGTTGTAGATTATCCCATAGTTTTCAGGAAATTAGACGTGTTAAAAATAAGGTTGTTGTTCTATACCACTGACACAAAGTAGTGTTAGGCATTTTGTAGGCTGTTCTATTCTTCTGAAACATATATATAGCTGTGATAAATATGCGGTAGGTTGTTTTACAATACTCCTGCAAAGTAGATATTTAGGCAATTTACAGGTTGTTATTTTAAGTACTTAATAGTAAGGATCGACAAGGATTCTAAATAATTCACGTGCCGAAAAACCACCCTATCGAATTCCTCAGCGAAAAGCCGACCATTAAAAGTATTGGTTACGATATATTATGCGCATATATATTAATAACACGATAAAAAGGTCGCTAACCTTTCCGGTACAACAATTCAAAAATTTCTAAAACAGCTAATTTTTCGTCGACGTAAGCGGGGCTAGCGCCTAGACAGTTCGGACTATTGCTACAAGATTCCTTTAACTTACATATCATGCACGTACTTAAGATGGCGCTACATATCGATGGACAGACACGCGACAGTTTCTAAAGGTGTAGTATATACTTTATAAAGATATAACATAAAAGTAAATAAACAAGAGTATTAAAAATTATGAGTTTTAAAACGAAGTAGGGATACTGCTTTAAAAAGTAATGTAAGAAGAATTAAAACCACAATCACAAATTTATAAAATTTAATTCCTACTTTGGCAGTTTTATACACTTTTTAATACTCTTGTATACTTATGAAAGATATCTGTGTTAGAAGTAACACAAGTTGCTCTGTACCTCTCAAAGATAGTTGTGTTAGAAGTGTTGCGTACTGTCTTATAATAATGTAAAATATGTGTACTTGACGTATTGCAAGTTGTAATACCTTTGTTAACAGTAATGTATATATTTTATAGCTTCTGTGAGCATTTATCAGTTTATGTTACAGTACTGATAGATACGTCCATAGGTAGTTACCAGGCTATGTTATAGTACTGATAGATACGTCCATAGGTAGTTACCAGGTTATGTTATAGTACTGATAGATACGTCCATAGGCAGTTACCAGGCTATGTTATAGTACTGATAGATACGTCCATAGGTAGTTACCAGGTTATGTTACAGTACTGATAGATACGTCTACAGGCAGTTACCAGGCTATGTTATAGTACTGATAGATACGCCCATAGGCAGTTACCAGGCTATGTTATAGTACTGATAGATACGTCTACAGGCAGTTACCAGGCTATGTTATAGTACTGATAGATACGTCCATAGGCAGTTACCAGGTTATGTTATAGTACTGATAGATACGTCTACAGGCAGTTACCAGTAACATAACCTGGTAACTGCCTATGGACGTATCTATCAGTACTATAACATAACCTGGTAACTGTCTATGGACGTATCTATCAGTACTGTAACATAACCTGGTAACTGCCTGTGGACGTATCTATCAGTACTATATCAGTACTATAACATAACCTGGTAACTACCTTGGTAACTGCCTATAGACGTATCATAACATAACCTGGACGTATCTATCAGTACTTAGACAGTTACCAGGTTATGTTATAGTACTGATAGATACGTCTACAGGCAGTTATCAGGTTATGTTACAGTACTGATAGATACGTCTACAGGCAGTTATCAGGTTATGTTACAGTACTGATAGATACGTCCATAGGTAGTTACCAGGTTATGTTACAGTACTGACAGATACGTCTATAGGCAGTTACCAGGTTATGTTATAGCACTGATAGATACGTCCATAGGCAGTTACAAGGTTATGTTACAGTACTGACAGATACGTTCATAGGCAGCGCGCGAGTCTTGTTTGGATAGACTGTTCTGCCATATATATATATATACTGTATAATATTGTTGAGTTTATGAGAATAATGACCTTTGAAAAATTTATTTGGAGAGGCTGTTTGTTTGCCCACGACAGTTGTTCAAGGGGGTTCCTCTTTGGGCGGCCAGAAACGAGCTATCTTTCTTCGTCCATTTGGGGAGGGTAAGCCTACCCAAGCCTCTTTTTCGAGCCGCCCCTGGATTTTGGTAGATATTCCAAACAGGAATTTGTGGGATGTTTTTAACAGATAAGTACTTTATGTCACAACGTACCATTTACTAATGTTTCCAAAAAAAAAAAAAATAGAGAGATTATAAACCCTTATTCAGTGACCATATATCAAAATTTGTTACAAAGAATACTTCTTTTAATAATATATTATATACCATTACAAAATCACTGTATATTTGCTATATATATATATATCTTTCACAACTTTTTATGTGTGGTTTTAAACGCTGAAAGCTGGCGAAATATTGGAAAACCACCAGGCTAAAAGTTGTTATAAAAATAGAGTTAACTGTACACTTACTGAAAGTATCTAACAAGGTATAATGGAGTTTTGTTGTATGTTTTTTAACAATTTATTTTACGTGTTGTAACACATTTCTTACAATTCGTTAAACATAACTGCTAACGGAATTTTGCTGTTACATCAGTGGCTAGAAAAATAAATATATCTATATGGAAATTCATTTTCCTTTAGTAAATAACATGGAAGTCATTAAAACCAATATTCAGGGTTTATTTGCCAAAATATTTTAGATTTTAAGTTCTTTTATACACAAGTAGACTGGCGTGAAACGATAACCTACTTGGTAAGACATCTAACTTGGCGGCGGCACGAACTGGCTGACCGACACCATTTTCTGCTACACATTCGTAAGTGTCGACATCCAGATCTATACGAACTGGCTCCACACGGAGCACCGAGCCGTTAGGCATTTCCTGGACAGCGTATCGTTGAGTGACCACTCTCCTGCCATTCTTTCTCCATTCTATTACAGGTTTGGGGTTCCCCAGTACCGTGCAGATGAAGCTGGCCACACCACCATTAATCACCGTTTGGTCATGGGGCGCTCTCTCTATCTTAGGAGAAGCTATGAAAGAAAATGAATAATAAACAACACATTAAATGATGATGACCACACAAGTGGCCGAAACGTTCTTATAAATTAAAAGAAAAGAAAAAATAATCTTCATAAAACGCTGCGTCTCTAGATTTTATTTACATAATATAAACTGGTTGTCGAAACTGGAGTTAAAAACTCAAACGAAAATCAGTGTAAAACCCCCGTCATAAACAATATTTATCTCCAACAACGCCAGTGAATGTTGTTTTTTCTCTGGTTTAGCAGGATGAGAAAGGTTTAGTAAAAACAGATTTTATTTTTTGCTAGTATAAAAAGGAAGTATATTTCTACTAACTGTTTGTTTTACGTTCCTACTGTTCGCGAAAGACGCCCACGTTAAAATAGTTTTCTACGTTTATTTTTCCAAATGTAATGTAGTATATTAGCGTTAATAACTTTATTATATGACTTCAACAACATATCGATCATAAAGTACTTAAAGAGGGACTGTCTTAGATTCTGCATACGTGTATAAACGTTAACGTGCTCTAAAATCGTTCATTTTGTTACCGACAGAACGTTCAGCGGCTGAACAAAAGAAGACAACGGTTCACATTTCGTTTAGCCATTTCCCGAAAAATAATAATGACAGTTGACAGAGACAGTCGATAGAAACAGTCAAGAGGTGACAGTCAAAAAGCAACTTTCTTCTGGCTGTTGTTTTAGTGCAAAAATGAACAATGGGCTATCTGTACTCTGTCCAACTCCACTAGCTGGATTGCCACTTCCGATTTATTTGCTGCTACAAGGTAAGGCTGACCCATGGCTGGTCTGTCTGACCCACTACAACTTCAGATTAAGTTGCTGGCTGGAAGATAAAACTGACCTATGGATGTACTACCTGACACACTAAGACTTCCGACTGAGTTGTTGGCTACAAGATAAGCCACCCACGGCTGAATTGCTTGATACACTACGACTTCCGATTCAGTTGTTGGCTACAAGGTAAGCCTGATCCAGACAGAAACTGACAAAGCTTTTTTTTTAATTATTCGAAGAAATCAGAATAGATACCATCAGTCTCATGATAAAACTACGATCACCATCTAGATGCATAAAAGTATGTATACAAACACAATTTGTATGTATTGCGCAGGCGTCAAAATAATTTTAACACAAAACTTGTAGATCAAAGACGCGCCAACTACTTAACGTTTCAAGTAAGAAACAGGAAACTGAGCAGTAAAGCAACTAGCTGTGTGACAGCTCACCCTGTAAGTCACCTTCTACATCGATCACATACGCGGTTTTCTTCCATTTTCATCAATCGCTTGAAAATTCAAATAAAGATGAGCTCGAATTTTCCCGTTTTTTACATTATAAGAATAAAAATTAAATAACTAATTTTTTAATTAAATATTTCATAGAAACCAGATACAAGAAAACTGAGAAGCTCGTTCAATTTTGAATATTGCAATAGCCATCCCTAACTTTGAACTGATAAGACTAGAGGGAAGGGAAGCTATTCAGATGCATCCAACGCCAACTGTTTGACTATTATAATAAAATAGTAATGCTCCTTCGCTCTCAAATTGCGCAGTGCATTTTTTTTTCGGTGATGGGAGCCTGGTGAGCTAACAACCAGGACACGCTTAGCTTCTGAGGAGTTGGAGATAAAGAACTGGCAAATTATATCTATGTAGTTACACCTTGGATGGATGTTGAGTAATTTAAATATAACCAAGGGCCAGTACTGGATTTCACGGCATGATAACTTACAAGAAGAAAATGTTTCTTGAACTTGTTTCTGGGAAAAGAGAGCAATATAGAAATAAACTAAAGGCTGAGCTGCTATAACCTTACTGTATGTTTTAAATTAACAATCTTCTATATATAAATGCAGTCCAAGATAAGAAAACTGTCTCCTATCATAATCTAAGTTCACAATTTTGAAAAGTAACTCGGATATTTTTGTCTGTCGTGGTTTGGGTAGGCAGCAGTGGTTTCATAGAGTGTAGTGCATAACCAAGCACTATTTCCCTGTATATTTTCTTGTAGAACCATGCTATTTTATCCAGTAGTCTGTTAGTAAAGACTATCTTATTCAGCCAGGTTTTGCTCAGTAGAATGTCCTGGCCAAATAAATCGCGTAGTCCTACCAGTGCTACTGCATTAACTAGCCAGGCTGTCCCGCCAAGTATGGTTCATCAGGTTCGATACGCTGCGCTCAATTTGTTCACTGCAGGCAGAAATTAACATGAACAATTATTCAGAATTTGTTTATTCGCATAATGAATGTGAAAAAATTATTATTTCACGAAAAGTAAAGAACCATGTTTGTGAATATAGAAGTATATGTAAATGTTATGTATATTTTACAAGCTTAAAATATTATATATATACAGCATCTAAGTTCTAAGAACTATTACAAAATGTTACCTTTATAAGTTTACGTATAAACCTAAAAGTATATAAAATGTTTTGTCTGCTGCGGGTATCAAATATTGAATTCTAGGGTTATGAACACTGAAGCTTACCGCTGATCCACCAGAAGAAAACTAAAATCATCATGCTGTTAACCTTACGTGTCTCTTAATGTCACAAAGCTGGTGAAAAAAGCAACAAACTAATGGATATATCACCAGCTTTAGAAGTTACAACACAATCTCAAGTTAAAGCAGTCCACAGGATTCGATCAAGAAAATCAGGCCAGCTTACAAATGTCCTATTCCAAGTTACATATTTCCTCGCTCATTCAGTGAATATGGGTTTTCTCGGGGCACTCCAGTTTTCCCCCACAGCCAAATTCTCGGCGTAGGATACATGTATCCCCGCCGTCTTGAGAAAGGGCCGTAGGTTTGTTTCCTTCTCCCCAAGCCTGGATGTTCGGTATGGAGACCTCTCAATTAACAATTCGCGGCCTTTGTCTGCTTTGCCTTCCTTGCCTCGACGTCATAGTCTCTACTATCTTATTAATGGTCCTCCACTGCTTATTTTAATGTTTAATTCTGTAAACCAAGAAACAAGTCAATATGTATCTATTTTTATTTTTTTTTGCATAATTGTAACGTTGACTTAATAAAAATCTCCCACGAGTGGGGAGAATATCCCTGAGCATCCCAGTTTGGGAAAGTTCCTTTCCTTTAGAAACTAAATCCCTGTCACGTTTTCTTTTTTCAATTTGTAGTAGTTCGCTCATTGCAACCGACTTACGCATGTTAACTTGGTAGGTGAATAAATATAAATCCAGGGCCAAACATGAACTATTTATCGTATATAATCCCGTATTCTTAACCTTTCCCTGTCTATAACCTTTCTAGATATATATATACATTTATTGCCACGTGTCTAAATATCACCGCAGATGAATCTTAGAAAACACATTTTGATAGTTGAATATCGCTTAGGATGAAGCAGAAACTTGAAACTAAAAATCATAATGGAGAGATCCACTGTATTCAATAAGATGTTAATTAAAGTAACAATACGAGTATAATACGTGGGGGTGGAATTTACACAGGATGAGTAAAAGGCATGTACTAGTTTTTAACTAATTATTAACCATATTTGTATATGTATATTGCACATTAAAACTGCAATGTCAAATGTCTTAGGGTACATCCATTTTAATGTACGTGTACTGGTTTATAAGGTATCCGTACCTAAGGTGTTGTCTTTTCATCGAAACCTTTTAAGTTCTTAGGACGCGTCTTCTCATTGAAACCTTTTAAGCTCGTATTTATTTTACATATTTCTACTTTCAATGTCTTGTCTCATAAGTTATTGTTTTGTCTCACTTGTTATTTTCTGTTGAAACAAGGCATGAGAGATTAGGAAATCAATTTGGAATTTCATATCGTGGAGTTTTCAGTATCTACTGAGGAATATAATGATGACAGGGATCTCGTTCTGTAATCTAGGGTTTTCGTGTTACATTCCTTTCATGTATTTGCGGGTTACAGTGTAGTTCAGAACAATTATAAACAGATTAATCGTACAAAATATCGTTAAACACCACAAACATAAGCATATTTATAACTATTCACACGCGTAAGACATCCACACCCCCCAACGGAGATAGAAAGAATAATAACGGTATCTTTCTATCCACTAATTTCTGATAGAAAAGCCTCTTACATAAAATCCATCATAGCCAGTTGTTTCATAGTTTAAGAAAAAAAACTTCTAATTTTGTACCCAAATGATAGGTAACTGATCAATCGTCAGTTAAACCCATAAAACGTAGAAAGATATGGAGTTCCTACGAATGTGAATGCTTAACGATTTATTCTTATGAACATATTGCAGGTTAAAACAATTTCCTAAAACGTGGAGCTGTATGAAAGATGGACCAAATTAAAGTCACATGTAAGATAAATAAAACACCGAATACTCTGATTAGCCACCTTCACTAGAAGAATATGGCCATGTACTTAAACTGGAAGACACTTTCGGTATTATAAACTCAGCCAGATAATAACAAGAGATTGCGACATTATCCCTTCGGTCAAAAGAATGTGACCTCATTACTAAGGCCAATAAACTGTGATCTCACCGCTTCCAGTAGTTTAGTCTTGTCTGATAATACGTCAAACTATTTAACAAACTGTCATGCAGTTAAAAGTTTTATCTCAAAACTCAACTAATACTATGATGCAATTAAGTAAACGATGAACAAGTATAATTTCACAAAATGTACACAATACGTTCACTACCTTTTTGAGCATGTAATATACTCTTACGTAATCTATCAGTGTTAATCGTCCTTCCGTAACATGATACTGATCTTACTTTATCTAACAGTCCTCACAGAGACATACTCTTGTTCTATATGATCATAAAAAATGCGGCAATGTTTAGGCCATGTTCCTTTTGTAACATGTTACGTGCTTTTACTTCATCTATCAGTTCTAATATATGTTTAAATATTTTATGTGCACAAATACTGTTATAACAAATACAATAATAATCCATTCTAATATCAATGTCCTACAAGCACAACACTTCATAAAGAGTACAATTTTAAT